TCTTATTCTCTTCTTCCTTCTCTATGAAAAAAGAACCTCTTCAAATGTCACAAACAAAACCTTTCAATCGAAATAACCAAACAATTCGAGAAAAAACTAAAATCGAGAATAAAGGAATAGAAAAAAAAAAAAAACAGAGAGAAAAAGATGAAAATAAAATCGAGAATAAAAGAAACCTGAAAAGGAGAAAAAAAGAAACAAAAATACAAAATAAAATCGAGGATAAAGGAATAACTGAAAAAAAGAAAAACACAAAGAACTAAAAAAACAAAATAATAACAATAATAAAAAAAATCAAAAATAATAATAAATAAATAAATTATAAATAATAAACAAATAAATAAATAAATAAAAAATAATACAAAATAAATAAATGAAAAATAATAAAAATAAATAAATAAATGAAAAAATAATGACAAAATAAATAAATGAAAAAAATAATAATAATGACAAAAAATGGGCTAAACTCACCTAGGTGCCGGCGGCGCCCCACCGCACGACGGCGGCGCTGAGGGCGTAGGCGACGGTCGTGAGCCACAGCACGTTCCCGCCGCTGTGGATCCCCGCCGCGGAATCCAGCCTCGCCTTGGACACGGAGGTCGTATCCACCTCGTTCGTCTCCTCTTCCTCCTTCTCCATCTCCTCTTCGTCGAAATCGTGGAAGCAGAGGCGGGCCATGTTCCTCTTGATGCCCTGGCAGTCGAAGGGCTCCGAGCCGTCGCACACGCACGTCTCCAGCTTGGCCGCCTTCTCCTGCCGCTGCAGGATGGATATGCTGTTGTTGCAACGGTAGCTGCACCTGCCGGGGGAGAGGGAAGGGGAGGCTGCAATGTTTGGTTGTGGGTTTAGGTGCATTTCAATGGTTAGCTGCTTTTTCTTTCTTTCTTTCTTTCTTTCTTTTTCTTCTTTCTTTCTTTCTTTCTTTCTTTCTTTCTTTCTTTCTTTCTTTCTTTCTTTCTTTTCTTTCTTTCTTTCTTTCTTTCTTTCTTTCTTTCTTTCTTCTTCCTTCTTCTTATCTTTATTTTATTTTTTTTTTTTGTCAATGTAGAACTCAAATCTAATCAAGGATGGCGTATGTCTGTGTACTACAATACACATATAAAAGGTAAATTGGAATTCTGACATAATCATTATCGTCCATATATTCCCCTCCCCTCTTTTATTCCCCTTCTCCTTCCCTCGTTCTACCCCAATTCTCTCTCCCTCAAGTCTCTCTCTCTCTCCTCTCTCTCTCTCTCTCTCTCGCTCTCTCTCTCTCTCTCTCTCTCTCTCTCTCTCTCTCTCTCTCTCTCTCTCTCCTCTCTCCTCTCTCTCTCTCTCTCTCTCTCTCTCTCTCTCTCTCTCTCTCTCTCTCTCTCTCTCTCTCTCTCTCTCCTCTCTCTCTCTCCCTCTCTCTCTCCTCTCTCCTCTCTCTCTCTCTCCTCTCTCTCTCGCTCTCTCTCTCTCTCTCTCTCTCTCTCTCTCTCTCTCTCTCTCCTCTCTCTCTCTCTCTCTCTCTCTCTCTCTCTCTCTCTCTCTCTCTCTCTCTCTCTCTCTCTCCTCTCCTCTCTCTCTCTCTCCCCTCTCTCCCTCTCTCTCTCTCTCCTCTCTCTCTCTCTCCCCTCTCTCTCTCCCTCTCTCTCTCTCTCTCTCTCTCTCCCTCTCTCTCTCTCCTCTCTCTCTCTCTCTCTCTCTCTCTCTCTCTCTCTCCCTCTCTCTCTCTCTCTCGCTCTCTCTCTCTCTCTCTCCGCTCTCTCTCTCGCTCTCTCTCTCGCTCTCTCTCTCTCTCTCGCTCTCTCTCTCGCTCTCTCTCTCGCTCTCTCTCTCGCTCTCTCTCTCGCTCTCTCTCTCTCTCCACTCCCTTCCTATCTATCATTCTATCACCATCCCTCTTTTATCCTTTACCGATTCCTTTCTTTCTCGCTCTCCTTACCCCTTTCCGATGAACATCCTCCTGCAGAGACGGTCGTAGAAGCCGATGGCGGTGGAGCAGAGGGTGTCGGCGGCGCAGATCCAGTGGGCGACGCTGCAGGAGACCACCGTCGTGTCCGAGTTCGCCGCCAGCACCTCCTCGCGGCACACCTCGACTCTGGCTTTGGTCTCGCGGCAGTACTCGTTGCCACAGGCGCACTGGGGGAGGGGGAGAGGATAGGGGGAGAGGGATGGGAGGAAGGGAGGGCGAGGGGGGAGGGAGGATAGAGGGAGATGGGATGGAGGATAGGGGGAGAGGGATGGGAGGAAAGGGGAGAGGGGGGAAGTGGTAGGAGGGAGGGGATGGGAGAAGGGAGAGATATGGAGGAAGGGAAGGGGGAAGAGGAGTAGGAAAGGGAGGAGTGGGGGGGGGATGGCGGGAGGAAGTGGGAGAAGGGTTGGGGGAAGGGAAAGGGGGAACCATGAAGGAGGTGGAGGAGAGGAGGAGGAGGATAATACGGAGAGGAAAACAGAAGAAAAAAATTAGTCCCACACAAATACATCAAACCACCCAAAAACGACAAAGCCACACCCACAAACATATACCAAAAAAAACAAAAAAACCTGCAGCCCCATCGCCAAACGGCGCGCCCCCTCCACTCACATCCATAAGATCATGCCCTTCTTCCGTGGAGGTCAGCGCAATGAGGGCATTCTTGCAGTACTCGTCGCAGTGGTCGACCCTCCCGCCCATCAGGTCAGCGCAGCCCAGCATGTAGTTCTGCAGCGCCATTCCGCAGCCGCTCCTCAGCGCGCACCTGATCTTCGCCTCCGCGCAGGTCCGCCTCGAAGCCGCCGCCGCCCTCGATCTCTCGCCCTTGCTGCTGCTGTTGGCGCCGAGGGTGGCTTCGGAGGCGCAGGCTGAGGTGGGGCGGGGGGCGGTGCCGGGGCCGTCGGGGTGGCCCTCGGAGTCCGGCCGGCGCCTCCCAGGCCGATCAGCGAAGACCGCTGTCCATGCCACGCGCCACATGCCAGTCCTGGAGGAGGAGGGAGAGCAGGGGACGGCTGAGTGGGCGGTTCGGAAAAGTTATTTAGTTTTTTTTATGTTTTTTTTCGAGCGTGGGAAGGCGAGTTCAGAACAAAAGTGGTGATGATATCATAAGGAAGATGCACAAAAATATCCAGAAAGGTTTATGAAGATTTCTGGTTTGGAAAATATGAATTATTGATTTTTCTGTTAAAAGTGATGACGATATAGGTGAGACATTCGAAGATGTTAAACCATAATTTGAAAAAAAAAAAATGAAAATAATAATGAAAGCATTAATAACAACACCTATAATAATAATGATGATAATAATAATAATAATAATAATAATAATGATAATAACAACAATAATAATGATAATAACACTAATAACAACAGCAAAACAACAACAATAATAGTAACGTTAATAATAACATATAAATGAATGGATAAATAAATAAACAAATAAAAAACACGATGCAAACAACAACAAAAAACTACAAAAAAGAGAAAAAAACGAAAGGCTCCACCCACACGCCCACACCGACATGAAACCCCGAACGCAACGAGAAATAAAACAAGGTATATCGGAAGACAAGGCGACGGCGACCCTCTCACGGCAACGGCGGGAACGCAACTGAGAGATCAAGCGCTGTGTTGCCGTTAATAATAACAAGAAAAAATAAAAATAAAAGCGATAGACATAAAAAAAAAAACTCCTAATTCGCCCGCTATAAAAAAAAGGACTGAAAAAAAAAATCGCTAAACATAAATTCACTTTCAAAAAAAAAAATCGTTACTCGCTAAAACTAGCGGGAAAATCGCTAGAATGGCAACTTTGCGAGCGATGAGCGAGTGTCTCGGCGAAAGCGTGTGATTTGAGCTCCATCTCGCCTTATTTATGAAGCATCCAGCGCCTTAACACGTGGAATAAAACGTTTGTTGTATTAGCGAACGAGGAGGAAAAGATGGGGAGTATTTTGAGCGTGAGTGTGCAAAACGGGGACAACACCTTTGCAAATTATTGTCGATTCTTATTGATTTTCTCGATTCGAAAGATGGAAAAAAAAACGAGAATGATTCTTTGTTTTCTTTTTTCTTTTCTCAAAACGAGAAAAAATGGAATAACTTATAATCATATCGTATTATTTTTTTTTATCTCGTGCATCGAATATGGATGAAACCGTTGTCGAAAAAACATGAAAATATCCATTATTTTTGCTCATATTTTGAACTTGCGGATAAATATTACATCGCCTCGCATCACACGAGAAAAAATCAAGGTTGTTTATTTTATTTTATCTTTTATTCTATTTATTTATTTATTTTTTACTTACAAGACAAATTATCAAAGCAGAAAAAAGGTAAAATCGGTTTAAAGAAATGATAAATTTTTTGGATTTTTTTCGTGATGAAAATGTTCGTGTAATATGTTTATGATTATCTTTCAATTTTTGAAATCTGCAAATGGCGATGATAAGAATAACCTCATAATGATGATGATGATGATGATGATGATGATGATGATATGATGAATCGATGCATGATAATGATGAATGATGATGATGATGATGATGATGATGTGGTGATGATGTGATGAATGATGGTGAATGATTGATGATGATGATGATTGATGCATAATAGTGATGATGATGATGATTGGTGGTGATGATGCAAATGATATCAAATGCATAATGATGATGATGATGAAAAATGGATGATGATAATCGGTAATATGATGAGATAATGATGATATGAAGATGATGATGATGATGATGATGATGATTTAATGATATGATTGTGATGAATGATGATGATTGATGGTGATGTCGATGCATGATGATGATGATGTGATGATGATGATGATTATCTGATTCAATGATTGATGATGATGAATGATGATGCATGATGATAATGATAATGATGATGATTGATGATAATAATGATTATGATGATGCTATGATGATGATGATGATGATGATGATGATGATGATGAATGATGTAATGATATGATTGATTAATGGTGTGATAATGATAATATGATGTGATATGATGATAATAATGATGATGTATGATGATGATGATGATAATAATGATGGTGATGATGATGATGATGATGATGATGATGATGATATATCATGATGAGATGATGATGATGATGATGATAATTAATGATGATGATGATTGATGAATATGATAATATAATGATGATGATGATGATGATGATATATGATGATTGATATGATGATGATGATGATGATGATGATGATGATGATGATGATGATGATGATGGTGGTGGTGATGATAATAACGATAATGATAATGACAATAATAATGATGACGATAATGATGATGAAGATGGTGATGGTGATGATAATGATGATTATGAAGAGAAGGAAGAAATGGAAGAGAGGACAAGAAGACGAATAAAAAAAAAGAAAGACTAAACAGTAAAAGAAAAAAAAAAAATAGGAGGAAGATGATAATGATAATGAAAACGAAAAAGTCGTCAGTGAAAAATAACAAAAAATAACAGAAAATAAAAAGTAAATAAAAAATTGAAAGGCACACACAAAAGATTACATATACATACAAATATAGATAGATAGACAGATAGATAAGATATACATATACATAAACATATATATATAAACATAATATAATATATAATACATAATATATACATACATATATATACACATACATACACATATATACACATAAATCTATGAACAGGGAGACGGAAAAGCAGAGAGGCAGAAGCGGAGAGAAGCGAAGGGGGCCGTTGGGAGAAAAGTCCCCGGCAAAAGCAGGGTGCATTCCAACAACCGGTTCTCGGGCAGTAAGGTCTCAGGAGCCCGGGAGATAAATATTTAACACCCTGACACACTGAAAAGATGATTAAGAATGCGTAAATGATTGGGGAAAATAGGTAGAGGTGAATCTGTAGCAATGAAGAAAATTATTAGGATTAAAATAGGTAGAGGTGAGTCGTAGATAGAAATGAAGAAAATTATTAGGATTAAAATAGGTAGAGGTGAATCTGTAGCAATGAAGAAAAATATTAGGATTAAAATATGTAGTGGTGAATCTATAGAAATGGAGTGAAAAGAAAAAAATTAAGAATGCGTAAATTGATTGGAGAAAATACGTAGAGGTGAATCTATAGAAATTTGTTAGGATTTAAAAATAATGAAGTGAGAAAGTAGAGAAAAAAATTAGGAATGCGTAAAATGATTGGAGAAAACACGTAGAGGTGAATCAATAGAAATGAAAAAAATATTAGATTAAACATAAGACCCTGATGAAGTGAGGAAAATAAATAATAATGATTAAGAATGCGTAAATGATTGGAGAAAATATGTAAATCTAGAAAAATGGGGAAGAAAAATATTAGAATTAAGTAGAACACCAAAGTGAAAAGAAAGAATAGGAATGCCTAAATGATTGAGGAAAACGTGTAGAAATATATAAAAGTGCTTGAGAAAAATAATAAAATTAAGTATAAAACCCTGACAAAGTGAAACGATTAGGAATGGATAAATAATTAAGGAAAATAAGTAGAGATGAATATATAGAAATGTTTAAGAAAAATATTAAGCATTATAAGCACCCAGACAAAAGCATCACAAAAAAAAAAAAAAGTAACAAAAAAAAAAAAAAAAAAAAATAAACAACAAAAACAAAAAAAAAAAAGATAATAGTATGCTACTTATATACATATCATATATATATATATATATATATATATATATATATAATTATTATATTATATTGACTCCTATTGAATGCGTAAATTATTGGAGAAAATATGAAGAGGTAGAATATATACAAATTGGTTAAATCAATAGAACTGAATATACATATGACGGATATATATCAAATTGTCAATAAATCATATATATCAGAATCAAATACACACATAAGACAGGAAGGATATTAGTACCGTACCAAAGACAATATCCCACAGCAGACTCGTCTGTTAAAATAACCGTTCTCTGCCCAATTGCTGTGTAAACAAGCAATTAGTCGAAAAAGCGATTCTCGTAAATATCAGAACAGCTGATCGTTGGGCCAAGAGAGAGTTATGGTGGTATAGTGTGGTATAGTGGTGTCGGAGAAAGACGTATGAGTGAGAAACAGGACCATCAAAGAGCTTAGGGAAGGACGGGGGGGTCGTCTGGAAAAGCGGCAGACAGAGGGGGAGGGGGGAAAGAAGGAGAGGGGGGGAAAGAGAGAGAGCGGAAGGGGGAAAAGAAGGAGAGGCGGGGTAAAGGAGAGGAGAGGGGGAAGGGGAAAAGAACTCGAGAGTGGGGCGGAAATGAGAGAGACGGGGGAAGGGGAACAACTCAAGGAGAGGGGAAGGGGAAATGATGGAGAGGGGAATAAGGGGAGAAGCGATAAGGTGAGAGGGGGGGAAACGAGAGATGAGGGGAGAGGGGTACAAATGCTTGTATTAGGCGAATGAGGTGGGAAGAGAGAAGATAGTCTAGGAGGAGTGGAAGAGAAAAAGAACAGGAGAGGGGGAAAAGAGAGAGGGGAAGGGGATAAGAAAAAGGAGTAGGCGGGTGAAAAGAGAGAGGACGGAAAAGCGCGGAGTAAGAAGGAGAGGGGGGGAAAGCAAGGAGAGCGGTGTGAAAGGGCGAAAGAAAGCGATCATGGCGGGGGAAAGAGAGAGAGGGGAAGGGGAAAGAAGGAGAGGGAGGGAAGAGGAGAGAGGGGAAAGGGGAAAGAAGGAGAGGGGGGAAGGGGAAAGCAAGGCGAGAGGGGGAAAGGGTGAAAGAAGGAGAGCGGGGAAAGAGAGAGAGAGAAGGGGATAAGAAGGATGAGGGTAGGGGAAAAGAGAAGAGAGGGGTAAGGGGAAAGAAGGAGAGGGGGGAACGGGAAAGAAGGAGAGGGGGGAAAGAGAGAGAGATGGGGGAAGGGGGAAAGAAGAAGAGGGGGAAAGAGATGAGGGCGCAAAGGGGGGAATAAGAGAGAAGCAGTGGGGAAGGGAA